GGATTATGGGACCTTTTTAGAAGAAAATAATTAACTGCCATTCGTTTACTAATGCGGTGTATAAGTTAGAAATATTGAGTTTTTTAGCGACAAAAATTGATTGAGGAATGTGAAATCGTCTAACGTTCACATAGAAATATTTATCTGAGTCAACGATTTGAAATTATTTTTCGTGAACATTCGTTCTCTACCATTTCATAATCTCGCACACTTGCTCAGTGTGAGTCCATGTGTTTTTTAGAACACCCCAATTCTTGGGTGAACCTTACGAATATTATTTACAGTTCCTACATTAGTTTCAAAAACCTAGGACTAGGCCTGGAAGTGAAATTATGTTATTATGGCCTCTGGGAGGAGGACTTGCTCAGCAATGAGATGAACGGATACATTTAAATTCAATGCTAATATGTTCGGACTTAATATTAATACTCATATTAAATTTTTTCTTTCATTTCCCCAACTTAATTTCAAGAACTACATTTAATGAATTATTCAAAATTCACCAGAACTTATAATTCTAGCGGTCAGCTGCTCTTATCAAAATACAGACATGCGCCAGAGAAACTTACTTATTTTGAAAAAAATCCCGCGGTGAGTTTGGGTGGTTAGAGGGCGCGAGAGGGGGCGATCTGGAGGGGAAAGTCCCAAGTTGTTCTCCTTCCAGGTCAGTTGCCATCATTGACTGTGGTTAGGAGAGCAGCGGGCCTTCCAGTCAGCTTCTTTTTCAAACGGTTATAATATACTCACACGCCAGGGAATTTTTCAAATAATAAGTTTCTCTGGCGCACTCTTATTACCATAGTTTCTCCGATCAACACCAGGCGAATACAGGAACAGTACCCTAAACGAGCCACGGACTGCGCACGATTTTTCTTGTTTCTTCCTTGTCCAATCCTCACACACTTACACCATTATGCACTACACTACCACACATTCCAGGAGACCGGTCGGGAGCCTAGAGCTTGTCCCGGCTGGAGCGGTGCCCCGCTGGTGGGAGATACCTGGTTGAGAGAAACCCCGCTTGCCGACGGTAGGTCATACTGCAAAGGAAGCGTATCGCCACCTCACGCAAAAACATGCATTACACATACGGGACTAATGACCCTATTAGTTGGCGCGCCCGAAATCACTAACAAATTAATAAATCAATCACAAGAACTTATGATGTGGCACTCAAGGAAAATTTTACGAAGAACTGTATACTTTTTTTTTGAAAAAATCTGCCGACAAGTTTCCTAAAATTTCGATAATTTTGTACTTATTCAATTAACAGAATATTGCTTGGAAACAGCAATTAATTCAATTAACAGAATATTGCTGTTTCGAAGCAATATTCTGTTAATTGAATAATTACAAAATTATCGAATTGTAATGTACAATGATACATACTCTAAATGTATTCATTGTACAGTAATTGTACAATGATATATACTCTAAATGTGTTGAGCGTTGACATTAAATTACGCAGAGAAATAGTCTTTATTTTATCATAAAATATGATTTCTGTTTTTTTTCTTCGAAGTATTATTACATACAATTTCGTCTTCTGCACTGTCCTGATCACTATAGAGGTGAACACCCGAAATAACTATATTTTCATAATGCAATAGAAAAATCAATAAGATCTCATTTTGAAGAATACTGCTGAAGGAAGAGAATTCGGTTCCCATTTTCCCACCTGTTTCTCGTTATTACTTTACCTATTCCTCGGAAAGCTATGTTGTCACAGAGCTCACCTGTTCTCATAAAACTAATACCTCTTTAGGGACACGAAAACTCGGGTTTAAGGACCTAGAACGCATCGTTACGCGCGAGTTGCATTATTATGATGTCATAATAGTCAACTGCCTGTCGTTTTTCTTAAATGTGAGGGACGCAGACGTGGAATGAAATGTTTTATCCAGCACTAGCGCCCTTACAGTATTTTAGGTCGATGGATATCAATTCTATAGCGAAATAAATTTTCGCTATAAATGGCGAAAAAGGCATATATTCTTAACGTACAAGTATAAAGAGTGGAAGTGTACAACGAATAACGAGAAAAGAATGATTCTGAATTTATTTTCCACATTTTATTTAATGAAATGGAAGTACATAATATGTAAACGAATAACGCAGCTGAACTCTTGAATCAGTGAAGGACGAAACTAAGGGTCGTATTTCCTCGCATAATGGAGAGTAGAGATAAGCGCGCGTACGCATCAGATTAATGTTTCATATGTTATCAGTATATGCTACTCTTACGTGTTTTGATTCATTTTGTGACGTAAACGCGAAATCAGCATCACCTTAAAAGAAACGTTTTTATGACGTTACACAGAAAACTACTATCATTTGGATGTAATCTGTCGTCCATTATTTCAGACGCTCTGCAAATTTGATATGATAAGAACTACTAAAGGGCTCCTAAAAATTGAGCAAATTTTCGAAAATTCCGAGAACAACGAAAATGATACCTGCGCGATTGTTTTAAGTGCCCCTCGTTTTATCCGTGGTAAAAAATGAAAAAAAATATGGAGTAGTTTTTTAAAAAAGCTTTTTATAATTTGCATTAATTTCAAGCAATTACGCGAAAATAGCTGGTTAAAAAAAATGGAACATGACCCTCTTTAAAGAGCTGATTTTTAGAAGAGCCTTTGTTTAAGACAAAAATATGTCTTAAATTTTGAATTTATCAAATGTTCACTTATTACAATTTTCGAGAGTCCAGATAACTCGCAGGAATTGATATTTGCACCAACAATTTACTTTGAAAGGAATGTATATTAAGGCGAAATTTAGAGAAAAAAAATGTTGACCCATTTTGAGAAAATAATTATTTAAAATTGTTTCAAAATTGCCTGTTTCACACAAAATTACGCGAAAACTACTCATGCTTTCGAAAAATTGTACAATCTTAATACAAGATATATCTTTAGGGAATAAATTTCCAATAATACACAATATCAATCATCAATATTGTAATTGTGAAGGCGTAAAAAATTTTAACTTTTTAGATTTTTGAAAAAATTAGGTATTTGAATTAAAATGAGACCTGCATCGTTTCCTTTAGGTCCATTGCACTAGCAGAAAAATGGAGTCATTTTGAAATAAATTGTTAAGTTGTTGAGGCTTTTCGTAAAGTACCCCTAAAAATAAAAATAGCCGTTTTACAATTAAAAGTCTCGAGATCTTTTAAATTGATCGAGGACATCAATTTTGGAGAAAATTTGGCTTTATAGAAATTTGATCTCCGGTGGATGGATGGATGGATGGACGGACAGAGGGACAGACAAATAGACGTTTTGCCGTCAATTGATTTTTCGGTATCAAGGATCCACTAAACAGGGATTCAAACAACCCAAAGTATTAGAGGAAGTAATTTACTATAGATAGAAAGGAGGTTTATCTACTTTTTTGTCACCAGAGCCTGGCAAGTTTTCTTTCAAAATAAGTTCCAAGTTGTGGTTTCTTAGAGACGCTCAAAAGTCATTTTCCCGAAAGGCTCGTAATAATTCTTTAATTTTTTTCTGTGGATGGCGCTAAATCCACCAGAAAAGATCACACAAAGCCCATTGTGCTTTATTCTTTTCTTAAAAAAAATCACAAAATGCATTTTACTGAAATAGGAATTTATTCCGTTCTTACAAGCCCAATTTAATGCAAACCACTCTTTAAATACTCCCCGTACAAAATGTGAACATTTCAGGGAAATCGGTCGGGTAATTTTTGCGTCCATATGCTTTTGTTTATTTATAGACGTTGCTTTACGTGTATCGACCAATAGACGTCGAATCTACCAGTAGTTGTTAAAGTATACCATAAAAAGTAATATGAAATAAAACATAAATTTATCAGGATAGTTTTACTTGTTGATCTTTTATCCGTATTGTGTGAAATTAATTCATGTGCTCAAACAGCGTTCCCTAACCCTAAAGCAAACCCTAAAGAAATGTCTTTCCTTAGGGTATACTTACATCATTTAAACGAAAATGCAACAATGAAAACCACAGTTTATTAATTTTTTTAAATATCAAATATTTAATTGCTTCTTAAAGTTACAAGATGGTATTCTACACATTGTTTTGACACAGTTAAATACAAAAAGGGAATATTGATATTCATGAATTTATTTGTGAGAAAATTGTAATTAACCTCCAGTACTTTAGTAGAGCTAATAAAACACCGTTTAGAAAACATCAATATTTACTTAAATTTATTTCACGACTTTATCGTGATTCTTACATTATTTCCGTGTACCAATACTTTGGAAATTCTTAATATTAACCAGTGCGCAGCGAAGTTTGAATTTACTCCAAATCAGAAGCGATATTTAATAAATTACTTTGTGAAAAAAGTCAAAATTCATAATATCATTATTTGGTTTTTCATAATCCTTAATAGCACAATCAAAGAAAAAAATAATAAAACAAAGAAATAAATGTTGCTAGACACTTCACACACTGACAAAAATGTTAGTAACTTTCTTAAATTACTAATTTTTGGGAGAATTAGTAAAAGATTAGTACACGAATCCCACAAACAACGCACTTATTCTCATTAGTTTGTGATAATTTGTAAATTAACAACTGTTAAAACATTGTGTACGAAATCTTATGAGAGTGCAATTTGACTGGAAAGTGAAGCACTAAAAGTTATTGTGAATTCCGAATTGTATTTACAATATGGGATTGGCGATACGGATTTAATAATTAATGTCTTTTAAATGTCATAAATATACCTCAAACTGCTTTTACAGGCACTCAAAGTTCCGTTATTTCAATTGTCTCTTGTTATGGAATCTATGGACTCATTAATCAAAGTCATACATAACCCGTATATTACATTAAAACAAAGGCACAGGTGAGAATAAAAAGAGATAGTTTAAATAGAAATAAATTAAAATGTAAATATAAAACACCTGTTATTGTTATTTTGTAGATAACTTCAAAAGTATTTCAGTTCATTTGTGAGGTAATCTTGAGAGGAATAATCAACATAAATGAATACATTGAATTATAGATCATTCAAAAAGTAGAAAAATTGAGATTTTAAAAATGTTAAGCATGAGATTTTGCAGTAGATTAATTAGCGGAAGCTATTAAAACACTGTATTTTTATCCTACATCACAAATGCTTTGGGCATCGTTGCGTTTCTACACTAAAGTTTTTGTCCAATTTGTCAGCTACATACACACACTGTCACCCAACAATACGTAAGAAACAGTTCTCATTCGAAGAGGATGGAGCCGCTTCTTCCCGGGTCCAATGCGTTGTCGCCAGCAGCCGCTGGGAGCGCGCAGATCGCGGGCAGTTGTGTTTAGGACTTGCGTAGCTGGACAGCTACGCGAACTCCCTGGATGGGCCGCAAAATGAGCTCGCTCACCAGCTTCAGGTCCTCCGCCTTGTCCAGCGCCCGGAAGGAGTATCGGCGAAGAAGCGTCGATATAACCGCCTTCTCCTCCAGCAGTGCGAACTTCTGACCTGCAATAGATCTTCTTTAAGTAAACAAAGCGAGGCAAAAGAATTGCATGAAATATCTGCAGCCTCGGCTCTTAAAAGGAGAAACGTCCTTTGCATCTTCTCCTGCAGCGCGAACGTCCTGTTTGTAAGGGATTGTTTAAGAACAAAGCAAGGCACGGCAAGGGCATTGGAGTAGCTCTCCAATATTTTTGGAGCTTGGAGCTGGACAAGTACAGTCTGCATGCCCCCACCGTACACACGAGAAATGCTGGCATACGTGGACAGAACCCGCTGTTGATGCAAAGACTGTGGACCAATTCAAGTCACCTCTCGCCATTTCCCTGAAGGATACCATTGTTTATGTCACAAATTATATGTGAGCTTTTAGGACCAATTAATTATTAAGGAAAATGTATTGTCCATACAATGTACACGAGTAGATCCATAACCAAACACCATAATGCCAACACACAGAAATAAGACAGATTGAAATGAGAGATTAAAAATCTATTGAATATAATAGACCAATTAAATAGACCAACAAATGTCGGCCCAGCCTATAAGTTCACGCGGAGTGTGGACAACAAAATTATATGAAAATTACTAGCTAAAGTAGTTTTCCAATCAAAACGTAATTTAAAGTAAAAATTATTGTTATAAGAACAATAATGATTCCTAATGTCTTTATTAATTAGTCCTAAAATCATCTATTAAAGTAGACATAAAAATTCTCCAACCGACAAGATACACAGGCACACACACAAAAAAACGCTGTGAGAACCAAAGACTTGACACATGTTTCTCTACGAAGTCAACGCGCTGAAACTGAAGCCAGAATTGCGCCACCACTATCTATTTTTTTAAATCGCCATTGTTCCGACATTGTTCCACCCACACCCCCACACGAGGAAGAGGAACCATTAAAATAAGGAGAGGACAACAACTTGTCGTCCCCCCTTAAATTGGGTGGGGGGGCCTTTTTCGAACTTCTGCTTTTTGGGGTAATTTTCGAAAGTTTTTTTTCCATTTGGGCCGATCCCCCCTCTTCCTCTTTTTTCTACTCCGTCCGACCCTTGATGGATAACTTCCCGTTTTTTTTTATCACTGTATAGTGCGTAATGAACTGACCTATGGCAGTTGCGAGATCCAGCCGCTAACGGAAAAAAAGAATTTTGACATACCCTTCCAGTTTAATCCACGCATTTAAAACAATGTGCGTCGACTCTGGCCTCGTCCGGGTGACGCCGAGTCCCGAAGGCAGTGTTCGCACGACGTTTCCGACCATCCCTGCTCGTGGCTCTTCCTCGGCTGGCAAGGTCCCCACGACCAATGGTCGACAACGTCGGAAACACAGCTCTTCCGACGCGGCTTCACCCGGGAACCCAGATCAGACACCATGCACTCTGGCGCACGGAAGTCTACTAACCGACTCTCGATTAAAACAATGCCGCCCCTTAAGATCAGAGGTGACAAAATAGAGAGACACTGTCGTCTCACTTGTGGCTTTCGACTTCGCATGTTTGGTATTCGATGCTCCACCGCGATTGGCTCGATCCCCCCCTCTCTTTCTACTCCGTGAACTTGAATGGATACTCTCACTCCGTTTTAATCGAAGTAATAGTGCGTAAATACTGACCTATGCAGTTGCGAGATCCAGCGCTACGGCAGAATTTGACATCCTTCCAGTTATAATACGATTAAAACAACTGTGCGTGATCTGGGCTGTCCGGGTGACGCGAGTCGAAGGCGTGTTGCCGACGTTTCCGATCATCCTGCTTCGTGGTCTCTTCCTCAGGAGCTGGTACGCGAATGGGTCGAACGCTCCAACACAGCCTTCGACGCACGGCTTTCACCTGGACCAGCCAGACTCACGCAAACTGATCACGCGAGCCTAGACTTCGATTAAACAATGTCTCTTCAGATCATGAGGTGGGCAAAAATAGAGAGACACACTGTCTGTTAATTCGTGGCTTCGACTTCCATGTTTGGTATTCCGAAGGCTTCCCGATTGCTGATCCCTCGGCCTTTTCTACTCGTCGACCTGAAATGGATATCGTTTTAATCGAAGTTATAGTGCGTAAATGAACTGACGCTATGCAGTTGCGATAGCGCTAACGGAGAATTTGACATACTCTTCAGTTATAAATAACGAATTAAACATTGTGCGTGATCTGGGCTGTCGGGTGAACGCGAGTCGAAGGCCAGTTGTTCCGAGTTTCGACTCTCGTCGTGTCCTTTCTCAGGACTGGCTACGGCCCATGCAGAATGGTCGAAACGTCGGGAACACAGCTTTCGACGCGGCTTCACCGCGGCAGCCCAGATCACGCCACAATGACTTCTGGCCACGGAAGTCTGACGACTTCGATTAAAACAATGCCCTTTCCAAGATCATAGGTGACAAAATAGCAGAGACACTGGTCGTCTAATTGTGGGCTCTGACTTCCATGTTTGGTATTGAAAGCTCCCCGATTGGCTGTTCCCCCTCTCTTTTCTAACCTCGTGAGCCTTCGAATGGATACTCCCGTTTTAATCGAAGTATAGCTGCGTAAATGACTGGACTATGCAGTTGCGAGATCCAGCCGCTACGCGAGAATTTGACATCCTTCCAGTTCATACATCCGATTAAACAATGTGCGTGATCTGGCTCGTCCGGGTGACGCCGAGTCGAAGGCCAGTGTTGCCGTTTTCGACCATTCCTGTCGTGCGTCTTCTCTCAGGGACTGGTAGGTCCACCGAAATGGTCGAAACCGTCGGAACCACAGCTTTCGACGCGGCTTCACCCGGACAGCCAGCATGCACGCACATGCTCTGGCCACGCGGAAGTCTACGACTTCGATCTAAAACAATGCCCTTTTTCAAGATCATGAGGTGACAAAATAGAGGGACACTCGGGTCGTATCTAATTGTGGCTTCGACTTTCACTGTTTGGTATGACAGCCTCCCGAGTCGGCCTGATCCCCCCTCCGTTTTCTACTCGTGACCTGAATGGATTACTCCGTTTTAATCGAATATAAATGGTTGAAACTGAACTGGACCTATGCAGCTTCGAAGACTCCAGCGCTAACGGAAGAATTTTGACAACTCACTTCAGTTTATAACGATTAAACAATGTGCGTGCATCTGGGCTGTCCAGCCCGTGACGCCCGAGTCGAGCAGAGTTGCGACGTTTTCGACATCCTGTCGCGGTCTTCCTCAGGGCTGGCACGGTCCCCACGAAATGTCGAACACGTCGGAAACACAGCCTTCGAGCGGCTTTCACCCGGACAGCAGATCACGCACATGAAACTCTGGCCACGAGAAGTCTTACGACTTCGATTAAAACAATGCCCTGTCAGATCCAATGAGGTGACAAAAAATAGAGAGACACCTGTCGTCTAATTCGTCGGGCTTCGACTTTCATGTTTGGTATTGAAGCTCGCGACTTGGCTGATCCCCCCTCTCTTTTCTACCTCGTCCGACCATTGAATGGCATACTCGTTTCATCGCAGTCATTCCCGTGCGTAAATGAACTGACCTACCTGCAGTTGGAGATCCAGCGCTACGGGAGATTTACATACTTCCAGTTTTAAATACGATTAAACACACATCGTGGCCGTGATCTGGGCTGTCCGGGCTGACGCCGAGCTCGAAGGCAGTGTTTGCCGACGTTTCGATCATCCTGTCGTGTCTTTCTCAGGACTGGTACGGACCCACGAAATGGTCGGACACCGTCCGGCAACACAGCCTTCGACGCGGGCCTTTCACCCGGAAGCCCAAGATCACGCACATACTCTGTCCGGCGGCAAGCCACCGACTTCTGATTAACACAATGTCCCTTAAGATCATCGAGGTGGAAAAATAAGAGACCCACTGTAAGTCTATCCTGTGGCTTGACTCTCCATGTTTGGTATTGAACGCTCCGACTTGGCTGATCCCTCTCTTTTCTACTCGTGACCCTTGATAATGGATACTCGTTTTAAATCGAGTATACGTGCGTAATAGAACTGAACGCTATGCAGTCGCGAGATCCTCAGCGCTACGGAGATTTGACATCTCTTCCAGTTATAATACGATCTAAAACAATGTGCGTCGATCTGGGCTGTCCGGGTGACCCGAGTCAGAAGGCAGTCTTGCCGACGTTTCCGATCATCTGTCGGCTGGGTCTTTCTCAGCGGCGGCGTCCGAGGTCGAAACTGACACAGCCTTCGACGCGGCTTCACCCGGAACAGCCCAGATAATCGACAATGACTCTCTGGCATACGGCAAGTCTACGACTTCGATTAAAACAATGCCCCTTCTCAAGATCTGAGGTGAACAAATAGAGAGACACTGTCGATCCTAATTTGTACGCGCTTCGACTTCCATGTTTGGTATTCGAAGCCTCCGATTTGGCTGATCCCCCCTCTCTTTTCTACTCGTGACTTCGAATGGATACTCCGATTTTAATCGAAGTAACATAGTGCGTAAATGAATGACCTATGCAGTTGCGAGACTCCAGCGCTACGGAGAATTGACTACTTCCAGTTATAATACCGATTAAGAACAATGTTGCGTGATCTGGGCTGCCGGGTACGCCCGAGTCGAAGGAGTGTTGCCGACGTTTCGAGCCATCCCTGTCGTGGTCTTCCTCAGAGCTGGCACGGGCCCACGAAAGCGCTGAAACGCTCCGGAAACCACAGCCTTCCGACCGCGGCTTCACCCGGACACGCCGCAGATCACGCACATGACTCTGGCCAACACGAACGTCTACCGACTTCGATAAAACAAATGCCCTTCAAGATCATGAGGTGAAAAAATACGAGAGACCCTTCGTCTAATTGTCGGGCTTCGACTTCCATGTTTGGTATTGAAGTTCCCGGATTGGCTGATCCCCCCTCTCTTTTCTACTCGTGACTTGAATGGATCTCCCGTTTTAATCGGAAGTCAACTAGTGCGCTAACATGACTGACTATGCAGTTGCGAATCCAGCGCTACGGAGATTTGAACATACTTTCCAGTTATCATACATTAAACAAATCCTGCGTGAATCTGGGCTTTCCGGCGTGACGCCCGAGTGAAGCAGTGGTGCCGACCGTTCGACACCCATGTAGTGGTCTTCCACAGGGCTGGCACCGGATCCACGAAATGCCGTCGAAAACGCTCGGAACACAGCTTCGACGCCGGCCTTCACCGGCACAGCCAGATCACGCACAATGACTCTGCCTACGGACAGTCTACGACTTCGATTAAACAATGCCCCTTCAAGATCAATGAGGTGACAAAATGACGAGAGACCTGTCGTCTAATTGTGGCTCGACTTCCTGCTTTGGTCATTCGGAAGCTCTCCGATATGGCCTGATCCCCCCTCTCTTTTCTAACTCGTGACTGAACTATGGGATACTCCGTTTTAATCCGAAGTATACGGTGCGTTAAATGAACCTGACCTATGCAGTTGCGAGATCCACGCACGCGAGAATTTCGAAATCCTTCCCAGTTTAATACGTCAAAACAATAGGTGCGTGATCTGGGCTGTCGGGTGACGCCGAGTCGAAGGCAGTCGTTGCCGACGTTTTCGACATCCTGTCGTGGCTCTTCCCCTCAGGGTGGCAACGGTCCCACGAATGGTCGCACGTCGGAAAACACAGCCTTTCCGACGCGGCTTCAACCCGGGACAGCCATCACGCAGCATGAACTCTGCCACGGAAGTCTTCACGACTTCGATTAAAACTAATGCCTCTCAAGACTATGCAGGTGACAAAATAGAGAGACATGTCGCTCTAACTTGTGGGGCTTCGACTTTCCATGTTTGGTATTGAAGCTTCCCGACTTGCTCATCCCCCTCTTTTTCTACTCGTGACCTTCGAATGGATCTTCCGTTTTAATCGACCGTATAAGTGGTAAATGAACTGACCTAATGCACGCTGGCGAGATCACAGCGCTAACGCCGAGAATTCTTGACATATTCAGTTACTAATCCGATTAAAACAATGTGCGTGATCTGGGCTGTCCGGGGTGACGCCGAGTCGGAAAGGCAGTGGTTTGCGACGTTTCGGACCTCCTGTCCGTGGTCTTCTCAGCGGCTGGCACGGTGTCCCACGAAATGGAATACGTCGAACACAGCCTTCGACGCGGCTTCACCCGGACAGCCCAGATCACGCACGATGACTCTGGCCACGGAAAGTCTACACTTCGATTAAACAATGTCCCCTTCAAGATCAATGAGTGGAAAAATAGAGGGACCCCTGTCACTAATTGTGGCCTTCGACTTCGCTATTTGGGTATTGGAAGCCCCGAATTGGGCTGATCCCGCCTCTCTTTCTACTCGTCGACCTCTGACATGGATATCCGTTTTAAATCGAAGTCATAACAATGTACCGTAATGAATCTGACCTAATGCAGTTAACGCAGAATCCTGCGCTGAAGGGAATGTAGGCGTAAGGATGGGACCTTTGACACGTTCCGCGCAAAAAGTTGTCGGGTCGAACTTCTCTGGATGGGGAATAGTCGGCGTTTGCGATGCACGTGTAGATGCGCAACGACCACGTCGGGCCTGCAGGGATGGTGTCACTTTCCTCCTAAAAAAAACAACAATCAATTAAACAAAAAATGAGAGGGTAATAAGAAGATAAATACGCCCGGAACGGAATCTTTTCAGAAAATTGTGACAATATTATTGAATTGTTAATTTTGGCCATTTAATGTTTCATGAGGAATATGTACTTAGAAATGTCTGTGTCACTGTTCTTATCAACTGATCACGGGACATTCAGTGGAGTAACAGATCGCGATTTCCATGACTCACATTTCGGCTCTTTCTCCCCACTCAGATATCTGTGACCTCATGGATACCACAGCGACACCGACCAACACGAGCTTCGTATAACAATACTCATTTATTAACAAAGAAACAAACAAATTATATACACTTAATAATCTTACCTCTACACCCTAAGCTCTGATAGACCTACTATCACCCTGATCGCGTGAGCGATGCCAAACCGATTGAAACGATGGGTTTTGATTGTGGCTTCGCCCACTCCTACTTGTTGAGCGCGCACAAAGCCTAGCTTTCGTGACGCGGATGTCACGCCTGGGACACAAAGTCCGTTTGGCGCATCCAACGGCTGTTTGCCTCGATCGCAGGAGCGATCTTATCCGATTGAGAATCTCGGCCGTGAAATCGTGGCCACTCAATCACTCCTTCACATCGAGCCACGCACACAGCATCGCTCCCCCGTGACGCAGTCACCCCAAGGACTAAAGTCCGCAGGAATTTCGTCAACAAGTGACTCGAGCGCTCGCGAGCCTGGCTCGCAAATATGCACCGTCGTGGCGCCAAGTTTTGTGGCACAACCGCACGAGGTTCTCCGCATGTCTCCAGAACCCACCCACTGGCCTGTACACTCTTGTTTATATAGGCCGAGGCCCACGTGACTACTACGTCACGCCACCCCTCGCTTGTTATAAACAGTGAAAGCTTCTATATGCC